TGCTGAAGGGGCCCGGGTGCGAGGAACAAATACCACAGTGAACTTCTTCCATGGCCACGTCGGCCTTGTCCTGGTGCAGGCATCGGAGGAGAGTGCCATTATAGGATCGTTTGTAGAGTCTGCCATCCTCAATGGTGTAGCTTGGGGCCCTAAGTTTGGCGAGTTTGGCCCTCTCCTCATCCTGGGGTAGCTCCCCCGTCATGATGAAGGTGATGATGTCGGAGATCCAGTCCTCCGGTCGCTGTTGGATGCACAAGATGGGGCTGGCATGGATGCTGGACATGCTCAGCTCCTCGATCTTGGCTAGCTTGGAGATGTGCTCCGGGGTGTCCAAGCTGAGTTTGGAGAGGTTGTCGGCCTCGGCGTTCTCGGCCCTTGGGATCTGTGTGATCTCGTGGGTTTCGAACGCCTTCAGCAGCTCCTCTGCTGCTTGTTTGTACTGCTTCATCCGGCCATCCTTTGCTTCGTACGTACCCTCCACCTGGCCCACTACCAGCTTGGAGTCGCACCTGACTTTGATGGGTCGGGCTCTGAGGCCGGCGGCGAGTCTGAGACCGCTGAGGAGGGCCTCATACTCGGCTTCATTGTTGGATACCCTGAAGTTGAAGCGGATGGCATAGTAATCTCTGAATCCTTCAGGGGATATGAGGACGACGCCGACGCCGCATGATTTCACGGCCGACGAGCCGTCGGTGAAGAGGATCCATGTGTCATCGGGCTCTGGCCCGGGGGCGGTAGCGGCTGTCTCCCTTGCCGTGCATTCGGTGACGAAGTCGGCCAAAGCTTGCCCTTTGATGGATGGCCTTGGCTTGATCTCAATCTGAATTTGGCTGAGGAAGATTGCCCATTTCACCATCCTTGAGGAGCTAGTGGGGCTCCTCATGAGTGCGCCAAGGGGCTGCTGGGTCAGCACATGGACGGCATGGGCCTGGAAGTAGTGCCCTAGCTTTTTCACCGTATGGACGATGGCCAGCACCGTCTTCTCAATGGGGGAGTACCTGAGCTCGGCCTCCCTAAGTGTCTTGCTGATGTAGAAGATGGCCTTCTGCACCCCTTCGTCCTCATGGATGAGCACGGAGCTGATGGCCGACGTGCTCACCCCTAAGTACAAGAAGAGGGTTTCGCCGGCTTTGGGCTTGGAGAGCACGGGTGGGGACGATAGGTACCTCTTCAGTTCTTCGAACGCTTCCTGGCACTCCGTCGTCCATTTGAAGCTGTTGGCTTTACGCATGATTTGGAAGAAAGGGAGTGCCCTTTCGGCTGACCTGGAGAGGAAACGGTTCAGGGCCGCCAGACGCCCCGTCAGTCGCTGTACTTCCTAGATGTTGCGGGGCGGCTCCATGTTGATGATAGCCTATGTCTTCTCCAGATTTATCTCGATGCCTCTCCGGCTGACCATGTAGCCGAGGAACTTGCTGCTTTGAACGCCGAAGGCGCACTTCTTGGGGTTGAGGCGGAGCCTGAACTCCTTCATGATCTCAAAGATTTCCCGGAGGTCTTCGGCATGTGTGGTGGCTCGCCTGCTCTTGACAATCATGTCATCGACGTACGCCTCCATCGTCCGGCCGAGGACCGATCTGAAGATTTTGGCCACCATCCTGGTGTAGGTGGCACCGGAGTTTTTGAGTCCGAAAGCAATGACGAGGTAGCAAAAGATTCCCTCCGGGGTCATGAATGCCGTCTTCTCAGCGTCATCTTCATGCATGGAAATTTGGTGGTACCCTCTGAAAGCATCCAGGAACGACATCAACTCGCACCCCGCCGTCTCATCCATCAGCTGATCAATGTTGGGGAGAGGGAACGGGTCCATGGGGCACGCCTTGTTCAAGTCAGTGTAATCAACACACATTCTGAATGTCGGCGGTTTTTGGGCGAGGACGACGTTGGCTAGCCACGTCGGGTACTTCACCTCTTTGATGTGGTTGATTGAGAGGAGCATGGCGACCTCCCCTTTGACGAAGTCCCGCCTGTCGGCGGATAAGTAGCGCCGCTTCTGCTTGACGGGCGCGGAGGCTGGATCGACGGTCAGCCGGTGAGTGATCACCTGGCGGCTGATGCCTGGCATGTCGTCCGGGCCCCACGCGAAGATAACGGCGTATGACCGAAGGACGAGGAGAATGGCGTCCCGCTGGTCCTGTGGGAGTTGCTTCCCGATTCTGAGGACCCGCTCCGGCCGGGAGGTATCCAGAGGGATTTCCTCGACCTCCTCAGCCGGTTCGGCATGCGGCCTGTCCTCGTCCTTGGCGACGGCTGCCATGATTGTGTCTATCCTCTGTCCTTCCCTTTCGGCCGGCCTCGTTAGCTTGAGGTAGCATGCTCTGGCTATCCTCTGGTTTCCTCTGGCGTAGCCGATGCCGTCATTGGTGGGGAACTTCAGAAACAAGTGCTTCATGGAGATGATGGCCTCCAAGTCCTCCAGTGTTGGCCGCCCTAAGATCAGGTTGTGGGCGCACTGGAGGTTGACCACCATGAACTCCATGTCAATTTTGGCGCGGTGGGGGCCGTCACCGACCTCCACGGGGAGGACTATCGTGCCCTCGGCGTCGATAGAGTCCCCGGTGAAGCCGGATAACGGTGTCTTGATCGGCTTCAGCAGAGCTTTGTCCAGCTTCAGCTGCCTGAAGGTGTCCAGGTACATCACGTTGACGGAGCTCCCCGTATCGATGTAAGTGCGGTGGATGATGGTGTCACCGATCTCACACACGATGACGAGGGCATCCCTGTGTGATTCCGTACCCGGAGGCAGATATTTGTCGGTGAAGGTGATCGCCTCCGTTCGCTGCTTCTTCGGCTGGGGGGGAACGTGGGACACCTCCCCTATGTAGAGGGATTGGGCCCATTTCTTCCTCTGGGTGACGGAGTCCCCCCCAGTATTCCCACCCACAATGAGGTGAATGTGGTTCTTCTTTGGCGGGGGCTCTTCGAAGTCCTCGTCGTCGCTGAGCCTGCCGATCTCCCGCTTCTTCGTAGAGGGTTCGCTCCCTGGTTTGCCAGTGTTTACCCATGTATTTTTGCGTGGGCCACCTTTAACAATCTGGGAGACTTCCCCCTGACGAATAAGGCGCTCGATGGCTTTCTTCAGCGTGATGCAGTCCTTGGTGTTGTGCGAGGAGTTCTTGTGAAACCGGCAGTATGTGCTGCCCTGCTGGATGGAAAGGACCTCCTCGGCCGGCCGAGGAGCCTGCTCGATGAGGCCATGCTTCTCGGCATAGTCGAGGATGGTGCCGACCGGGTGAGTGAGGGCAACCCCCGTCCGTTCCAACCTCGGCCGCCAGTGGCGGTCTTTCTTACTTTGTCCACCAGAGCCGTGACGGCCCTGGGCACCCTGGCCGGCCGGGGATGGACCCGAGGCCGGAGAAGGATTTGTCTTCTTGGAGGGATGGCCTCCCTCTTTCTTGTGGTTGTGGAGCTCGTCGACGTCGGCGTACAAGCTTCCGCCCTGGAGCGCCTTTGCGTACGACCTTGGATGATCGGTGATGAGGCTCCTGGCGTACGGGGAGCTGCGGAGGGCTCCCTGGTACATGACGAGGAGGGTGCGCTCATCGCCCCCCTCGACTTCCTCGGTCTCCCTCGTCCACCGATCAATGAACGACCGGAGGGACTCATCATGTTGCTGCTTGACGGAGAGGAGATGAGTGAAATACTTCTTCGCGCGCTTCCTCCCGGCAAAGTGGGTGAGGAAGCGTTGGGCAAGGTCCTGCCATGAGTCAATACTCCCTTCAGGGAGCGCGTTGAACCACTCGTACGCTGGCCCCTCAAGAGTAGAGAGGAACCAACGACAGAGGTATTCATCTGACGCGTTCACCATCAGCATGCCGTTCTGATAACGGCTGAAGTGTTCCTGGGGGTCTGATCGGCCATCGTAGGACTTGATGGCGTTTCCCCTGTACTTCTCCGTGATGGGGGCCGAGAGCACCCTGTTGGTGAAAGGGGTCCTGGTCCTGACCTGGATGACGGGGTCACCTCGTCCTTCGGCCAACTCCCTCTCCAGGGCGCTGACCTTGTTCATGAGAGCGTTGAGGCCAGGATCGTTGGAGGCGTCGGCCGTGGGGATGTTCGCCGACTGCCTAGCCTCCATCTGGGCTAGCCTCCTTTCCAGCTGGGCGATGACCTCGTCCCGGGGGTCCCTGGCGGCCGCAGCGGCGCCATGCTGGTTTCTCATGCGCTCATCGTAGGCTGCATTGATCTGGTGGCGCACGTCGTCCTCGTGCAATTTCCCCTTGCCCTTGTCCAGGCGGGGCTGGTCCGCTGTCCGAGACACAGACCCCAAGCTTTCCCTTGGCGAGCCAGGCCGACGCTCACCAATCCGCCCTGCCATCCTCTCCGAAACCGGACGACGGCGCGTGTCACCTAGCCTATTGAAGGCAGAGGCTTTTCCACGCGCTGGGGTCTGCCCAGGCCGAAGAGGGGAAGTGGGGTGGGAATGGGACGACGCCGTGTCCTGGGCCATCACCCCCTCATCGTTGCCTACCTGGACGGCCAACGGTTGGGGCTGAGGAGGTGGAGTGACGTTCCCCCCCGGTCCTTGGCAAGAGTGCGCTGAGGACGGTGGGGTTCTGGGCCAAGCTGGCGATGATGACCGACAGCGCGGCCTGGACCTGTGGATCCACAGACGGAGAGGCCGCGGCCATAGGCTGGGCTGGGGCGTGGTCTGTCTTCTCAGCTCGTTTCTTGTCCAAGCCGATGCGGGCATCAGGGGCTCCGCCGTTGAGTTGGTTGTGGAGGTCCGTCGTGAGGTTGATGGCCTCCTGGAAGACGTCCCCTCCGCCGACCTGGTCGTCCGTAGCATCCTCCTCGTGCTCCCTGGTCTCCTGGTCCTTAGGGATGGCCTTGCTGACGAGGTTGCGGTTTGACTTAGTTCTTCCCATGATCAGTGGTTAGATGTGCTTGGTAGCGACGAAGGGTGCTAACTTGATTGTTCTAGCTCTCAACGAGAGCACCAAATGATAGAGTATATGTCTAGAGAGAAGTGAGAGCTAGAGAGAGAAGTGTAATATATGCTTCAATAGAATGATTTTGTAACCCCCATAACTACCTCCAGAGGAAGTATTTATAGGAAAAATACGGGCTGGGCTCCCAAGCCTTGGGCTTGGGAGGCCCATTTACAACTGGGCCGCTACTGGGCCGAATACAAAGCCACTGGTGGGCTATACAAATGAGTAAGTGTAAAATCCGGTTCTGTGAGTCTCCCGTGGCCGACGAGGGTCTTGGCCTATGAGGGCACGGCCGACGAGGGCACGGCCGACGAGGGCACGGCCGACGAGGACACCCTGGTTCCTTGGCTTCAAGATCATATTCTGGGTCGGCCTCTCTTCGGCCGACGAGGGTATTCTGGCCGACGAGGGCACCGCGTAGTGGCTGTGCTTTCTGTTCCGAGTATGTGGGTCCTGGGGCCTAGACCCATATACTCCATCATGCATCATCCTGCCCTGTGACTAGATTAAACATAGAGCAAGGATTTGTTTTCTCAAGCACATAAGCCATTGAAGGCAAAAGCTGATAGGATTCAAGATCAGAACCAAATTGCAGCTGCATTGCTTTCTTCTGTGCTTTCCAAGCTTTGTTGTATGACATGGAAATTCCATACTGCATACTCATGTCCTCACGAATTTGCTTTGGGGGGTAGGGTTTATTGGAAGCATCAAGGTATTTGTGTGCAATAATATTTGCTATCACACTAGCAGATGCCTGTCTATATTTGCCTTGTCTGTAATCAATAGAGCATGTGTGAACTGGCCGGAATCTGAAAAGAAAAAATGACATAATTATACAAATACATAATATGAAATGACATAATGACATAATTATACAAATACATAATTATAAGAATGTCACCACAACATGACATTCTTATAAACCAGAATTTACAATGAAGTGAATTAAAGAAGGAAAATTGAAGTTACCTTCTGATTTGAAACATTGTTACGCCATGTAGTTTTACAGCTCAAAAACTCCAACAACATTTTGGATCTAAGAAAATAACATGCAAACATATTTTCTTCGATGTCTTAGTTCTGTATTGGAAGTGGTTTGTGATAGCATACATCTTCATATGGTGAATAAGTTCTTTTTTATTTTTGTAAATAGCATGGAGAAGAAGACAATTAGGATGGGACTGTGTGATGATTTCAAAATTTTGGAGAAATGAGAATGAGTAAGATGATTTAGTTAAAAGGCCATCTGACATATCATCTGACATGTCATCACTGTCTTCAGATGATTCATTTTCTATAGTTGCAGACACAGTGTTACTACAAGAAACAATATCTTCAGATTGGCCACAACTTACCCCAGACAGCATAACATTTTCATATTGACCAAATGGTGGGCCATCATCAAAAGAAAATGCAGGTGAGGAGGAATGTTGTTGGGCAGAAGAAACAACAACATTCTCATAAATGGTATGTTGTTGTGAAGCATGGGAAGAAGAAACAACAACATTCTCATCATAAGGGGTATGTTGTTGTGAAGAAATGACAACATTTTCAGACCAAGGAGAAGCAGATGGTCCAACATCAATAGAAAATGCAGGAGAAGATGAAACAGGATAAAACTCAACACAAAGTGGATACAATGAAAAATCTGGTTGAAGAGACTTGATATAAAGATAAAATGTTAAGATAGATTGATCATTTATAGTAATAGGAGGAGGAAATCCATCTCGCATATAAGAAAGCCTGAAATTATGATTAGCTTTGTACTGAGAAAGGATGTCACTCAAAGAGTTAATAAAAGAAGCATATTGAACATTATAGTTAACATGAAGGCCACATGTGTGGACATTGTTGAACACGTTGTCAGAATCCCAAAAACCGTCAACCTTGACCATAACAAGTAAAATAGGATCCATTGTGGCAAAAAGGTTCCTAAAAAATGCAGCAAAAGAAATATTTCAGTATGACAAAATCTAGGAAAAAGACAGTTCGGACAAAATTATGACAGTTTTGTTAACAATATGACAGTTTATAAGCATGTGTACCATTCAATGACAGAACATAAAAAGGAGAAATCAAAAAATGCATATATAGGTAGGACAAACTAAATGACAGTTCGGACAAAATTATGACAGTTGTGTTAACAATATGACAGTTTATAAGGATGTGTACCAATTATATACAATTACAGAACATAAAAAGGAGAAATCAAAAAATGCATATACAGGTAGGACAAACTAAATGACAGCTCGGACAAAATTATGACAGTTGTGTTAACAATATGACAGTTTATAAGGATGTGTACCAATTATATACAATTATAGAACATAAAAAGGAGAAATCAAAAAATGCATATACATGACAGGTAGAACAAACTAAATGACAGTTCGAAGGGCATAATTTAGGTAGAAGAATAGAGAATTTAACAAAAACAAAATAAATTGTAGATACAAACTGATATCTAAACTAGCCGATGAAATTTAATGAAATAAAACAGAGTACAACGACATACGAAATAAATTGTTGATTATAATGAATTTGAAAGCGATCATATGATGAAAGGTTCGATAATATGAAATTGAAGAAAAAAACAGAGCTGGAAGGAAAAAACAGAACGCAAATGCATATATGTATATGTATTCAACTGAAATATTGTCGTTCCAAATTACAAGCAATTGCGAATTCAATTTAACAACGATTGAAGAAGAATTGACGAAGGAAAACAGAATCACGGCCATAATAAGTTATTATGAAAGCATTAAATTTGAAGTAAACGTACTCTGCAAAGAACGAAACACAGGCAGCTATGACGTCGTACTCCAAGAGAAATCCATGGCAGATGTGTCACGCCCCGGACCCCATCCGAGCCACGTAGACAACCGCCGTACAACCCGATAAGAACAACAACAGTTCATCCCTATTGAGTTGTACAAGGCGTCCGATTGATTCCATCGCCAAACCGATTAGTAAACACATACAATCAACATCAATATCATACTCAAACAAATGCGGAAATAATAAAATGTTTGATACTTAGCCACACGTGGCAAACACGGGCACGCAGGCCCCCAACTGTTTTAATGAAAATATTGTTCAAAAATCCATGAGCAGTTTATACATTTGAAATATGAATGGAAGCACGAACCACGTCTTCCTTCTCGATCGATCACCCTAGGCAAAGGTGCAGGTAGTAGGACCCTAGCCTCAACCTGAAAAATGTGAGGGCCCCCGGAGGGGTCAGTACTCCATAGAAGTACTAGTGACAAGCAGGCTATATGAAAAATAACTAATGTTTCAGACACGAGACCCAAAAATAGGGTGTTACATATATATATATATATATATATATATATGTGACTCATTCATCTGATGATACATACTGTATATATATATATATATATACATATATATATATATATATGAAAAAAATATATATACATACTGTATATATATATATATATATACATATATATATATATATATTACATATATATATATATATATATATATATATATATATATATATATATGTGACTCATTCATCTGATGATACATACTGTATATATATATATATGTAAAATACTCGACCCGTAGGTCATTTCATTCAAAGAGTCTTTTAGAGATAAAGTTCTTACCTGACCTTTCTCACCCTTTTCCCGAATGCCTAGCTCACCAGCTACATTCTACATTCATAATATCCTACCGAGTTTTGGGAGCATTTAGCATCCCGGGGATACTCAACCCCAACCGAGTTTCAGGATCATTAAATGTTCCGGGGATGCTCAACCCCAACCGAGTTTCAGGATCATTTGCAGTCCCAGGGATGCTCAACCCCAACCGAGTTTCAGGATCATGTATGGTCCCGGGGATGCTCAACCCCAACCGAGTTTCAGAATCATTTAATGTCCCGGGGATGCTCAACCCCAACCGAGTTTCAGGATCATTTATAGTCCCGGGGATGCTCAACCCCAACCGAGTTTCAGGATCATCTAATGTCCCGGGGATACTCAACCCCAAACTAAATCCTCACCAAACCCTAACCTGGATATGGCTAACCTTTCGTTCCTTCAACTATGGACAATACCTAGCCCTATAGTCATATAACCATCCTTAGGAACCAAGGTGGGCGGGTCCCACCTGAACGGCCCACATTAACCCGCTCAAAACTGCCCGTTTTGAGCATAAACCAATACTCGATCGAGTATCTACCCATACTCGGTCGAGTACAGGAGGCGGTAGCCCCCAAAGCTAATTTTCCATGTATACTCGATCGAGTATATACCTATACTCGATCGGGTATAGGAGACAGTAGCCCCCTGGGCAATTTTTCAGCAGATACCCGGTCGGGTATGTGTCAATACCCGGTCGGTTATGGCAGTTGACTTGGCGGTCAACGCCTCTTTTGACCCCCCAAACGGAGTCCGATTAACTTGAAATTTTATACACATATACTTCTTGATGCCCTTGATCCAAAAATACCATTTTGGATCCCTGGTTCATCACACAAAATATGTTACCACATTTTTAATCACCAAACGTACATAACATGCTTTTCAACTATGTTTTATGCAAAATCATGGCATAAGCAAATACTTGATTATCTTTAATCATTCCAAAAAACATATCCTTGATTACTTTAGGTAATCTCATGCCTCACGCAAAAGTTATAAAGCATAAAGCCGTCTTCTCACCTTAATGATGCTTATGAAGTTCTAGCCTTCCCGATTTAGCTCCGGTGAAACTCCGGCGAACTTCAACGAACTCCGGCGACAACTCCGGCGACTCTTTCAACTCCGTGAAAGTTCCTTGAATACCTTAGACAAGTTACTAACAAGGTTTTATCATCATAAAACCCATAGTAATACAAATAACCCCCAAAAGGTTATTTTCCGGCGAACCGGTTACTTTGGCTCCTAAGTCCATTCTTGGATTTAGAACTACCTTCCAACCCCTATTTCTACACATAACAACGTGTAGAACAATACTAGGGTGTGAAATAGGATTGAATAATAATATAAGAGTATTGAAGAACAAGAAATGGGATTAATGGAGTCCTTACCTTGCTAAACACAAGTTTTCCTCTCCAAAACCAACTTTTCCTCTTCTCTTTTCTCCTCCTTCTTCCTCCTTAGCTCCAATACGTATATGGCAGATGAATATGGAGTATTTCCAGAGCTTAACTCTCTTCTTTGAATGGGTTGGCCGAGCATATGGGTTGTTGGGTGAGGGGATAGCCTTTTTGACTTATTCACCAATAATATGGGGGGGAGGGACCCCTCTCCATTTATTGGTTTGGCCCCCAACCAGCTCTTGCCCCCTTTCCATCACATTTTGCGGCTCCCCTTGGCTTCCTTGCAGAGATAAAGACGTGGGTTGGCCCCCATTTATGTGGGAGGTCAACCCTTTGTGTACCCAAGTGTACAATCGGTCCCGAAAGTTGTATTTTCCGGACTGTTTTAAGTATATTTTATTTTATCGGGTCAAATAAAATATAACACTTGTTCCCAATCCTTATTGGACCTTAGAATCAATATGATTCCCCAACTTTAATTTAGAAATCTCCGGAATCCCTTTTTGGGCTGTTATCAGATAAATTGCCGATACCGATAATTTGGCCCCGTTTGACCAACCGGTCAACTCTATGCCATTGTCATGGCCCAATTAGGATATCCATCACCATATACATATTATCTAGTCCAAGATCAATATAATATGTGCTTCCGATAATATCGGGCGGCCCCACATCCGGTGTGGGCCCATGTGAATTCTACTATTCACGTAATAGAAATGATAAAAAATTTACAATCACGTAAAAATGCTTTTATACATTTCTCAAGGTTCAATACATAATTTGGTACAGTACAAATTCTCGGGGGCGGTGTTACAAGATGAATGCAGGAAAAACAACGAATGATTAGTTAGGTTGAATGATATCCAACAAACTTAGGAAACTAATAGTGATACTCAACCTGAACAAGGAAACTACTCTGAGAAAGGAAACTCCTTAACCGTTTGAAACTGGATAACTGAAAAACGTCGGTAACTTCCTTAATAATATCACAAATTCGAATAGGGGTATTTAGGATATTTCCTAAAGTAGTAGTTCGTAAGATAGGACCGTATAAGTCCTATTAACGAGAGAAAACTTGGTAAGTCCTAATATGAGTTTTTAGCATGTTTAAGTCCTATTATGGTTAATTTCTTTTCTTTTTTTAGTTAAAGGGCTAATGTAACGTAACTGTGTATTCAAAACAGCAAATAAAACTATGAGCAAAAATTCAGAAGATCGAGAAGGCGATAATATACGAAGTATAGTCTTTATGATTGAGTGACATTCAAGCCAGCCATTCTGGAAGTCAATTACGTAGGGTTTTCTTGATCCAAAAGGTGGAATCTCCCACATATGGGTTCTTCTTGTACATAAATTGTATATCGTCTATGTTGACAGACAATTGATGAACAATAATAGATTTTTTCAAATGAACTGCTTGTTTACACAAACTATTAGAGACATGTGTACAATTTGTGTACTAATTTTATGTACAAATGTAACTTTACATTACTTGATACTCCCTACAAAATATAGGGAATACGCATGTTACATTGTTATGATTGAAAATTAGAGTGCATACGCATCCAAAAGTAAGGGTACCATACTTAATTATAAGAATACTCCATCCGTCCCGAAATAAATGTCATGTTTTCCTTTTCGATCTGTCCCAAAATAATTATCTTGTTTCCTCTTTTGTCAATAATGGGTGGCTCATATCAATTCACCTTTCGATCTACTCAATTTTCAACCACAACTTTTAGTTTTTCAACCACTTTCTTAAAACATGTGCAAAAACAAACAAGACAATTAATTCGGGACGGAGGGAGTATTACGTATAATTGATACAATTATTTCACCATTTATTTATAATTTAGTTGTTTAATTACAATATTTTGATTAATTTATATGGACAATGTACAATACCTCTTACCATGGAATTTAATTGCCTAAATTATTGTATATATATACACGAATTAAAGGAGATGGAAGCCTTCAATATTCAATTAATCATCTATGTTAACGCTTGATTATTCGCTCCTCCTTATACGTACGATAACGAATAATACCATCAAGAATTTGCCTTCCGCCGCCGCTCATGAGCTTATTGGTCTCTGCAACTATAAACGGATGATTCATCCCATTTTGCCCATTCGGCGGCGGCCCGTGTTGGTAGTCAACTGGGCTGCCGTCTTGCACGTCGCCGCCAAAACCGTGCACGTCATCATCGTAACACTGTTCTTTGCTGTGTTGGTCGGAGTTTACTGGCTTGAAAGCATCGCTACTATATCTCGCATGGTGCATCGTCTTGTCATCAATAACGTGACCATAGCAGCGGCCACTGCCATTGTGAAAGATACGCTGCGGGTTGCCAACTCCCGCCGCCGTCACCGTGTCGTGCTACCGTGTTTGGGCAGACAACATATAATAGTTAAAGAAATTGTTCAAAATAGGATTAAAGCATAAACAAAATTTTAAAATAGGGATAAGTATGTATGATTTATATGTTTTCTTCATCTCAAAATAGAATAATGTTTTAAATAGGAGTGTATGAATCCTATTTAGAAAATTTTCAATAATAGTTAATAAGAGATAATTAATATTAGGATTGGAAGTAGTATAGGGTTGGGCTCCTCACACTGTGCATGCTCCTAGATGGGCCTTCCTCTAAGTATTTGGCTAATTGGTTCTTTTTGCCACTTTGGAGAACCATTTTTGACGTTTTTTTTTTCTTCCTTTAAATTATACAGAGGATTAATTTTGGTGAATTTATAAGGTTGGTAATTGGATTCCTAAAGAAGACGAGAATGAAAGAGACTTCTTTGTTAATAATTATTCTTCTCATAAATTGATGCTCCATTGACTGGTCGTAATATTATACAAACACCCACCTAATTAAACTTATACATTTGGTATATATTCTTCTAGGAAATAAAATTCCCAATTTAATTAATTTAATTTCATGACAAACCAATAAATAGTTATCACTACAATATAATCTAACTATAGCCATGTTTATAGTTTAAACGACCTTAAAGGCTCGATGGACATTAAAATAACCCTAAAATGATACGGAGTATATATACATTGTACTCCGTATATATCATCACACCCTTCGTATAAATCAATAATTAAAATGAAAAAATTGTCAAATAAGCTTGCGTATATAATTAACCAATACGTTGATTAAGCCCTCGTACATGTTAATCGGCCATCCACAACGTAGGTTACCGTTTAACTTGTACCCAACTGGCTAAAAATGCGATTTGAGTTTTTTCTTAAAGTACACTACAAGGGCTTAATCGGCGGATTAGGGATAGTATGTGAGTGTATTTGACAGTTTTCCCTTTCCAAACTAAAATTAATTGATATCACGCCCACCATATGATATATATATTGAAGTGTTCAAAATTACTAAGAAAAGACAGTTGTTTTAAATACTTAAAAAGATCGGGATATAAAACGAAAAACAAAAACTATAAAGTTGAATGATCTTGATGAGAATCATCACATATAATGGGATATTAAAAATGTGATGATATGAAGGGCAATCAACCCGGGGAACTTCCATTTTCGCCACACAAAGAAATGAATTGAATAATGTAAGATGAGAAAAAGACATCTATATTAGTAATAGTCTTTTCAATTCTAATGATATGATTCTCTATCTACATTTTTTTCAAAAATTAACTTGAGCACATTTATCATTGAGTGTAATTCATTTAAAATGAGTTTCTCTCACCACTCTTTTCCCAAAACGCTGCCGCCGTTGGATCATCCAAAACTTGTGTGATCGAGGAATGTTGCTCGATCGTTATCATTACGTTATCAACTGCCCATACCGTGCCTCCCGATTTGATAAACTTTGAAGACATTCGTAGCATCTACTCTGTATTATTTTATACGGAGTACTGCGTATATAGGCGTATATAGTATGGACTCTGGAATATATTTCAGGTTCACTATATGTATAGCAATCTTCTCTTTTGATTAAATTATCCCTAATAGATGTTAAAGTATTTGTCCCAAACGGGAAACCTATAAAATAATAAAAGACTATATAAGACTTTGTGATACTCCTCCTATCAGGTTGACCTTTTAGGATTGAATCCCAGATCTTAACTTGATATCAGATCATAAGAGTAGCTTGTTAAAAATCTATATTGCCCATTTATACACCCCGACATTGTCCACCACGGTTCGGGCTGAGGGGACGTGTTAAAGTATTTGTCCCACACTGAAAAGATATAAAATAATAAAACATTATGTAAGATTTTGGGCTACTCCTTTATGAGTTTGATATTTTATGATGGAACCTCATATTTTAAGAATAAATACTTAATTACTCTCTTCCATAATGATATGCAAAAATTAATTTCCCGTTTGATGTTACTTACTTATTTAGAATAGCATTTTATCATTATAGTCTAATTTGGATTAGAATCAGAATTATATTCTATTTGTAAATTTTTATATAATTTGTGAATGTCTAAATTTATTTATACTACGTATTACGTAGTACAATGTACTTAGATAGAAATTTTAATTCCAATTCTATCTCCTGTTTTTATTCCACGCCTGCACGATTGCATCGCACCGCCTCAACCTTCTTTCTTCTGAGCTCATCTCTCTCATTTCTTATCTTTCTTCTCCCTCCTCCCATCCCCCTCTCTGCTTACTCATGTATCTTCTTTTTCCACGGAGTAGGAACTTCGATTTTCTCCCCAACTTAGCCACGGCGGACCTCCTCCTCCTTCTTCTAAGATGATAGCAGTCTTGGTTGATGCGGGTGTTGTTATGTATTAGGGTTTATAAAGTTTTTAATTTATTTGTATGTTTGTAATTTAATTAGAGAAATGGTACGTCCTAATATAACTGTTAGTATATATGTCCTAGCGACAATCACTTTTTAGAGATATATGTACTTGATCACATTCAGTTTTATATATTTGATATATACGGTATTACACATTGATGATTAAGTATTTCGATTGTCAATATCTTATTCATAATTGTGTTCCCTTGGACTTATGTTGTCAATAAGTAAGTGGGAGCTTATATGATATAACATAAGGTCCTAAAATAGCCACAATCAATGATCATCAAGAATGAGATATTGATGATATGTGATAAGATTGGTATATGGACTGCATCATACTTTTAGAAAGTATAGTTGATCTCACAACTATGAGTTCCTGTAATTCATGATGGTCACATAGATATTTTAGAGAATATTGGCATACCCACCGAGAAACCATTTG